CTATCTGATGTCTCCGTCGTTCCCCATTCCGCATATTCCCCCCGTCCCCCATTCCGCAGACTTTCCTTGTTTCAACGTTCTTCTGTTCGTCTGTATAGTGTATAAATTTTCTGTGGAACTGTACAATAGCTTAAAAAAAGTTAAAGCACACACACACACACTGACAGCTCCAAGTATTAAATGTACATTCACACACACACACATACCTCATTGTTTGTTGTGTGTATGTGTGTTTAGACTGTAGTTATGTATGGATATGGATAGTAAAGTGTAAGTAGTGTGTATTTGTTTTTCTCGTCGTTTTGTTGTTTTCTTTAATAGTTGTATAGTTGGTTGCTTGCCTCTCTCCCTGCCCTGCCTGACTGACTGGCCGCTCGGCATCAAATCGGTCTCGGTTTCGGTTTCTTGGTCCCGAGCTCAGACTCGGGCTTGAAGCTCGGGTTAGCTTGTTTATTTTATTATACCCTACGCGTTAGCGTATATGGCCTTTGGTGCGTAGGTTTGTAACACCCAGAAGAAAGCAACGTAGAACCCATTTTCAAGATACATTTATGAGCAACATAATGAGGCGACTTCAAAGACTGTTGCAAAACTACTCTCAGAGTCAAAAGGTATCTTTTGACGTTATTGCGATTTTTTTTTTTAGAATTGCAAAATCAATCGAATTAAAAAAATGCTGTTTTTAATTCCGGATGAAACATTTAAGGCACAACTAATCATAACTTTATGGTATAAACATTTCAAGAAATGCATTTCTTTTGCAAAAGCTTAGGCAGTGGTTATCGATTCAAAATTAACTTCAAAACCATAACATCAAGATAAATACAAGTTGAAATTGCCATCGGTTCACTTTTGAAATGTAATCGAAAACTGGAACAGACCTTAAAGTGTTTGTGAAGGGTATGTTGCTTCAACACAGACAAAGCTAGCTTCTTAGCTCGTTTCATTTGTTGTTGTTGTTGTTATTTAAGTTTTAGCACACATAGTTCAAAAATAATAAAAAGAAGAAGAGGAAGAAAAAAGTGCGCGCACTCTGAAAAGTAAAGCAGCAACAAACAGAAAAACGTAACCTGAAGTCTTTTGAGTTTCTTGACTTTTCTGCCTGCCCACCAACTGACTTGATGCGGCTCGGCTCGGCTCTGCTCGGCTCTACTCGACTCGATTCGGCTCGGCTCTTCTTTTTTGCACGCCCTGCGCTCTTAATACAGCGCCCGGTTTTTCCATGACACGCACAACACTCTCTTCACCACGCTTGGCCCACTCTCTCCACACTCCACTCTCTTCTAGATTCGCGCTCTTTTGCTATGCTCGTGCCTCAATTGCCATCAACTTTTATATTAACTCAATAGCAAGGGGTAAGGCAGGGCAAGACAAGGTGGGCTTCGGCGTCGACATCGGTATGGGCATTGCTGTTGTTATTGTTCGTTCCTAGTCGCCGACGCTGTCGTCGTGTTTTTCTTTTCTATGGGTTCAATTTTATTTTATTTTGAACTTTAAACAAAAGCCGTGGTTGTGGTGGACGCTCCACTCGAGCTCTCGAATTGGGGGTGGTGAGAGAGCGGCAACAACCATATGAGGCATGCGACTTGTGTGCAGGGCATAGATATGCATAAATATGTAGATACAAGTATGTATGTATGTACAGCTGCGGTGGAAAAAGCAAGACTGTTTTAAGAATCTGTCTCAGATGGGAATCCTTGCAACTTCCTAACATTTTATAAAAAATGAACAAATTGATAAGAATACTTAAAAAAAAAAAAAATTCAGCAAATTATTGATATTGAACATAGGCACAAAATGTTTAAAATATGAGAGATACTTCTATGTACATACATATGTATGAAATCATGTTTGGGAATATGAGCCCAGGATACAAATGTTCTACGAAGTTCTAGCCATGTTATTGTTACAAGTATGTAGATGGGATTGATTGTACATATGTTTTGGATTCTTATCTGGCTGGAAGTCCCACTACAACGGTTCTTCTTCCAATATTTTTACGAAAACGACACATTTTTTGTTTAGCTCAACTTATTTCAATAAAAAAATTCAGATCCATATCCAACGAGTATGTTTGGAACAATTTTTTGTACATCATCTTGAACTAATTAAAACATCTTTTTACGTTTGAAGGTTTTTTTTTCTGTTTTCGGTAACCTATTTCTTCATCTCAAATTTAGTCATTACGGTCGTCCATCCTCATGTTGTTTTCTTTTTCGACATATTGTATGTACTTGTAGATCATTTTATTAGATTTATTATTTATTTTATTATTTTGCCAACTTGGGCATTATGTGTGTAAGGGGTTTCCCCCTTTCGGCTGCTTTCAATATTAAGCTAGAATTTAAACGAACAGGGGTGCTTTTATTTTCGGAGAGACGAGTCATTAGTGGATTTCATAGTGAGTGATTCATAAAAAGAGCTCTTGAAATTCTAAAAAATATTGTTTTTGATAATCGATACATCGATGTTTATTTACATCCACTGTTTAGCTTGCTGGACTTGTTGAGGGAATACAAAAAATTTCAGTTATGCCAGTGCTACTTTTTTCACCGCCACTGTATACAATGCATTGTAAACATATACATATGTACATATGTAGTATAATTGCATGTGGAGTTATATTCATATATGTATGTCTGTATGTTTCCTTTTGTATGTATGTATGTACATACATACATATGTATGCATGCAAGAGCAAGACGTTGCAGGCAATCGTACATACATATATACATACAATGTTACTCGTTGCACAAATATGCGAATGTATTGCAAATTGGTTGGTTTCCAGTTTCCAGGTCGCTGTCATCGTCGCTCGCTATCTCTTGGAGTGTGCGTTTGTGTGTGTGAGTCTAGTTTTTGTTGTTGTAAATACTTGTCTAGCCATTATATTCTTATTTCGATTTGAGCCATTTCTGGTTGCGATCACTCGACAATATTGCCGCGTTGCGCGCATCCTTAAGTAACAACATTTGCAACATCTTGGCATTATCTGAACGATCATCGCCTGCAGACTTGAGAAATCTTTAATTGGGAATACTTGTAGTTATGGAGTTCATTAAGATCGGTTTTAGAATTGAACAATTTTGATCATTCTTAATTGACAGAACCTCACTTTTTGACTACATTTCCAAAGTGATCTCACAGTTAAAATAGTTCTCCGAAGAGCTAAAGTTCTATGCTAATGTCTGTATGTATGTATGTATGTATGTATGCATGTAAGCATTCTCCAAATAGTTTATCAAATACGCACAAAGCTTTGATTCTATTTTTATTACCAAGATATCAAAGTATGCGTGTAAATATGAAAAGGTGAATGGCAAAGGGGTTAGTCATGCCACCTGAGTTCTTAAAAGCCATCTACTGAGTGCGAAAAACGAATGATAATGAAACACTTCCTGCCCAAAAAGCACAAGCCATCGATAATATAGAGGTAGTAGGCATAAATAAATAACAATATTACATTGTATTTTGATTCAAAATTATTTAAACCTTGGTTTCTTAAGCAATGCCTTTCTTCAATAAAAATAGCGTAATTTTATATTTCATTTACTACATATGTAGGAACATACATACATACATATATTGAATTCTTTCGTGCAGGCCGTATATGTTTAATTTTTCAATTCAAGACAATTTTGTGTTTTTAATTCAAAGTAGAAATGATGTGAATTTTAAAAACGTTCCTCTGTTTTTGTAGTTCGCAGAATTTTATACATTCAATGAAAGAATGCAGAATTCTTTTGAATTACATGTGGTGTAGCATTCGGGATCAGCCATGCTGCTGGGTCGTGCTTTGAAATATTTTCTCCGGGGTTTGTGATCTTAAACGACAATTTCGTGATTGTCCATCTCTAACTTGCTTGTGTGTGTGTGTTTAATATTTAGTGTTGTTGGTTGTTGCTGCATGCGTGTAGTGAGAAACTTTTTGTATATTTTAAAAATCATTGAATAGATCTACTTATGTTGAATAAGTACCCTAAATTTAAAATCGATCGGACGAAATTTAAAACACAATTTTTAATTTGAAAAAAAAACAGAAAAAAAACAAACAACATTTGGCGCCCGTTTTCCCGCCTTTGGAGAGAAAGGAAACGTGTGGCCAAATTTCAGCTTCCTAACTCCTGCCGTTTGGGCGGTGCGTTGATCGTCAATCAGTCAGGATAAACTGTTTCATATATGTATGTACATATATGTACATGTATGTATGTATGTATGTATATATGTGTGATCCTTTTCCACAATTTACAATTCATAAGAGAAGCCAATAAAAAGACACACACGCACATACCAAATCAAATCATTTGAGTCTCTCTTTTATAAGGCACAAACATATGTATGTATGTGTGTACATACCTTAACTACAAACATGCACACCATAATGGAATATAGCATGTGTTTTTACCACATGCATTGTTTATGGCTCCACCACTTCCCCCTACAGCCCACCACATCCCACTGTCCACCACAGTCGGCAGCTCTTCTCCACCAATCCATTCCACTCTGGACTGCTGCTTTACTACTCCCGTTTCATTTTACAGCCATGGAGTTTATTTTATATCGTTTCGTTACGATGTTTGCTATTATTTATCCACATGTCTGTCTTTATATGTGTACATAAGTATGTGTGTGTGTGAATGTAGTTTTTTGTATTTTTTATATAGATACGTATGTATGTACATACCCATGTGTGTATGTATGTTCGTATATTTTTTTTTTAAGGTTTGACTTGTTTTCTTTTGTGTAATTTTATTTTCGTTTGTACGTGTGTGTGTGTGTCAGAATTGTATTGTTCATTGTTGTAGTAGTTGTTGTTTTTTGTTCATTCCATACAACAATATAAATGGTCGTTCGCATGGGGCCGTTGTATATGTATGCATGTAGAGGTGTGTTTTTATATTCTTGTATTTCATTTTTTACTTTTATTTATGTAGTTTTCGTTTACGTTCTGTTTTTTCATTATTAATAAATAGTTTCTTGTTCTCTGCATTTATTTTCAGTTTTCAAGTCGCTGCCAACATAGACGCGCATAGTTGCCGCGACGCTCCCGTTTTCCGTACCCGTTTCCCGAATTTCGTTCGTTCGCACATTCTGTTGTTCGGTTAATCGGTTGGTCGTTTGGTCGGTTCGTTAACCGCTCGGCTCGGCTCTTTTGGTTGTTGTTGTTATTCTTGTGTGTTTTACTTGTTGCTGCTGCAACTGCCACTGCAACTGCAGTGTATCGTTCGTCTACGACTAGTTGCGCGCAAGGTTAAGAAGAAGAACAACAAAAAATAGAAGCAGGAGAAAGAGAGAACTGACCAGAAGCAGCAAAGCAGAGAGTGAGGCGGAAAAAAAAAACAAAACCACCGAGCAATAACCACAAACAACTACAACCAACACAACCACACCAACATCTTCCCCATCCCAGCTGACTTTTTGTCTTTTGTTTTGATTCGTTTTGTTGCGCCGGCTTCACATTCGGGGCGCATCCGACCGACCAACCAACCGACCATCCGTCGCGCCTGCGCACGCGCCTCTCTCTTAAAAAGCTGGCAACATGGACGCTGCTGCTGCTGGGGAGATATGCAATCCGCAATTATGCCGCATTTGCATTAATTCGCATACAAATTCAACGCAGATGATTTCAATATTCGGCGAGGACTCACTATGGCAGAAGATAACAACACTGGCGAATGTAAAGGTGAGACAATTTTACAATTTTAGGCAATTTTATTGCACACATACATACATACATGCTCGTAAATTTAAAATTTGTAAGTATAGTATAGGTCTCTTTTTTAGCTCTCTTCTTTATATTCTTGAAAAGAACAGACAAAGAAAGTTTTTTGTGTCAAGTAAATTGTTGCTGCTTCTATAAAGATGAGCTAAGAACTCAATAAACAAATACATACGAGTACATATGTACATACATATACATAAATACGTAGTATGTATGTCACCTTTTATTTTGAGGTAAATCGTAAATACGATATGTACGTATGAACTTAAAATGGTGCTAAAAAATTTGGCACATTTCGCAGGAAAAACTTTCAATTTCCAGTACTTTCTGCTTAAGTCCATTACTAGAGAATAATTTAACATTTCAAATAAAGAAATGCTCGTTTCATCATTTTATTTGGCAGTATCGATTAGAAACTCAGATACAAAATACATATGGAACATATCAGAAGTAATGCATTTTCAGTTATGATTGAAGGCTTGTGCCCAAATGTCCGATAAATTGTGATTAACGCTCATAGGAAAATCCAGGTCTGTCAAGGTCTACATCTCTTTTAAGCTTATTAAATCGGATGACAATGGCAATCGGCCGCACAAAATAACAGAAGGTATGTTAAAACTGGCTTTGAGAATGTTCCGTGAAGAAACTTCTAACATATGTGTGAGTTTGACATATAATGATAAAGAAATTAGTTTTTTCCCATTATATTTGTACCCACAATTGGGTACAGAGTGTAACAAGTTTAGCGACTCTATTATAAATAGATATGTACATACCTGTACGTACATATGTGTGTGACTTTTTGAGAAAAGTTTCATGGGATTTCGTTGTACGAATACAATTGCGAAAATACGTGTGGAATCAGAAGAATTGCTAAATGTTAATAATAGTCGTTAACTTGTTCACGAATATCTTTGTTTACTGAAACAATAACACCCCTATATTGTTCATTTTGTCTCCGTAGTCTGAGGAGCAATTTTTACACGTTATCTCCCAGTACTTAAATTACAGCTTGTAAATTGATGTCAGGGATTAAAAGTGTGGGTCTCTTCTCAACTGTTATTTCTGAGGATTGGTTGATATCGCAGAAATCAATTGAGAGCTGATATGATAGATCAGAGAAAGGGAAATGAGAAAGACCTCACAAATAAATGGATTTCAGAACATATTGGAGGTAATCTGTTGCACTTCAAAGAGTGCCTACAATATCAGGAGATGTAAGTTATCAGATAATTCAAAAGCAAGTCCCACAAAATAGTCATCAACTACGGACTAAACTGTTTGGAATTAGTCCGTACGACAAATTGTCGGTTCTAACCGGTGTAAGAGACTTATTAGAGGCAAAGAACGAACCTGATTTCAAAAAAATTGGAAAAGTATGCTTGAACTGAGACAATTTTAAGCGCTCGTAGGCTTTAAAATACCTAAGTGAGGACTTAGTTCACAGTGCTGTTCTATATAGGCTTCTAAGAGAGCAAGGACGATAATAATGCCAAACAATTGGGATAAACACAATCATCATGGGACTCTCAAACTCTAGGTAGCTCCTTAACGACCATTACGAACTGAAAACCCAACTAAGAGATTAACTGCCAACTTTGAATTTTGCGATATATGAGAATTTACAATACTATTATTACGATCCAGCCAACCATGCTATAGATGCTGCGTTTGATATTATCACAGCTGCACAAAGCTGTACGCGTCGTTCGCCTTATCAGAGATATCAGAGGTAGACCTTAAGCAGATACTCGCACCTGTGCATAAGATGGATCTAGCAAGAACATATGGGTCGAAGTGCAAACCATCTTTGGCCGTCTTTGGTTTCCATGGAAACCTAAAAATGAGATTTCATGCACTCAATTGAAATTTAAAATTGTAGATAGAAGTATCTTCAGAGATACATACATACATATGTATGCATGTATTTATGTATGTAAATATGTCGTCTAGATTTATTTGTGGGCTCTCAGATTTTTGGTGTTTTTGTGGAGCAGCCATAAAGTCGTTTGTCGCTTATTGTTATAGTTACTTGTATGTGTGTTTGTATGTTTAAATAAGTATTTAATTTACTTCATTTATGTATGTATGTATGTGAGAGTGTGTATGTATGTATCTATATGCGCGTGTGTGCGTGTGTTCCACTTGCCCTCTGTCTTTTCAACTACGCCTCCTCCCCACCTCCTCCCCCTCAGCGCAGCAACTCGTTTGCAATATCTTTTGTCATTCATTCTCTCGCTCTGACTTTATAGTTTCAATTATGAGGTTTTAGTGTCGTGTGCGTTGCGTATAAATTCGCATAAAATACTCATAGATATGTACACCAGATAGGCGTTTATGTACATACATACATATGTACATACATTTGTGTATCTCAAAAAATACTTTTTGCGTTTTACAAATAAGCAGTTCAGTTTTTGCTGCTCGGTTCATTTTATTTCGTTTTGAATCGTTTTCTTTCGTGGCGTTTATTTGTTTGTTTTGTTGTTTGTTTGCTATTAGTTTATTTTATTCATATATAGATACATACATAGGCATAGGTATGTATGTGTGTGTGTGTGTGTGTGTGTGTGTACATTTTCAACCAACGTTTCATATTTTTTTATGGAATTTCTTATTGCTTATTTCGTTTCTTTGCCGTTGTTTGCTTGGTTGCTTGAGCTTTTATAAAATAATTTACCGTTTGAATTGCTGTTGTTTTTTTTGTCTTTCTTGTTTTGTATGCTTATGTGTAAGTGCCTTGGTTGGTTTGTCAATTCACACACACACACATACACACACACACGCATTGCATTGTATGCTCCCTGTATGTGTATGATGAATGTATAATTCATATGTTTGGTTTAATTCCATAAATTTTTCTTTTACAATTTTGTTGTTTTTTTCTGTGGAAGTTCGTCGCACTGCCTCAACTTCGAGTCAAAAGAGTCGAAGCCCCCACCTCTTCCTCTGTTTCTCTTTTTCACAGTATGCTGCCTGTAGTTCGTTACTTGCTCGCTCTTTGTGCGCGCTCTCTGCATAGTTTTGCTCTCTTTTAAGTCGGCTTAGACGTTCGTTGGCCCCCATGGGGCGTCCATTTGTTTGGCATTTTTCTCGAGTTTAGTTTAGTTTTTGGAGGATTGGTATGGAACCGGGCTCCGACATACAAATGTACATACATATGTATGTAGGTATGTTGGTATGCATGTGTGTGTGCGCTTCAATTTATCTTAGTTTTTAATTTGTACGCGATTCTTCGACTTCTCTCCATAGGTTGTCTATTTTTTGTTGTTGCACAATATATTGAAATTATTGCGTTTTGTGATTCGTTTGTGTTTACGCTTTTTAGGACCTTTTGAAATACGAGATTGCAGATACATATAAACATATACATATGTATGTGTATGTGTACACCAGATCGTATGCGTTATTAAATTACGTAGACGAGTTAACTTGTTTATAACTGAGAAAATGTTTACAAATACAATGGCGTGCACGAATTGGTTTTTTTACCGACGACTGCGATCTGAATGTATGTATGTATGTATGTATGTACATACATACATACTCGTACATGTATGTACATATATGTACACTGTATGTTTGTGTTTCAATATTTATAAAGTTTATTTTCTTAATTATTTGTTTAACTATATGTCGACCGCAAAATTCCGCTTAAAAGCAAACGGAAACGGTGATCTAACGAGCCGTATTCATAGATTTTTATTTCGCATCTAGTTGGCTAAGTACTCGTATGTAATATTTTCTATTAAAGTTAAGTTAAATCATCACTTGAAAAGAGTTAAGCGTTAAGTTAATCTTTTTTTTAATAGACTTTATTTTTGTAGTTTTAGGTTTGGTTTCCAAATGAATATTCAGGTTGAAGATTTGGAAGAACAGCATTAACTACAAATATAATAACAATATTTCAAAAAACAATTATAAATAACTATTTAGAGTCAGTTAGTTTAATGATATCTTTTTTTAAAATAATTGAAGATTGATTTCAATAATAAACCCATAATTCATTTGTTGTTAGATATTTTATTGACTTTATAAAGACACTTAGATTGTAAGCTTAGAAGCAGAGTTGAAGGATACTGTTGCAATAGCTTTAGGAGATGTTGTATTACAAATTTGAATAATAGTAATACCTTTTAATCTCTTGCAGATATCGAAAAACGACACATTACCGCAACAGGTTTGCGTATCATGTGCGAAAACAGCAATATCGGCATGTCTGTTCAAGAAGAAGTGCGAGGATGCGGACAACTTCTATCGCCAGCAGCTGCTGATCAAGAAAATCGAGGGGCACAGCAATGAGGCGAGTTCCAGAGCCAATAAAACCATCACAGCAGAGACGGTGCATACGTCGCCACGCGATCGTGCCGAAAACAAAAGCAGCAGCGGCAGTAGTGGCAGCAGCAGCAGTAGCAGTAGCAGCAGCAGTAGCTCCGAGGACGAGGAAGAGGAGGATAATGACAATGACAATGACAACGATAACGACAGCGATGCTGGTGATGCTGAGGCTCCCAGGCATCTGGAGAATGGACATGCCATGGTCAATGGCCAGGCTGGTGAGCACAATAGTAGTGTCCTGGAGGAGGGCGCCAAGCTTGAAGCTGTTCCCGGAGATGATCGGCTGCCCGAGGAGGACGCCGGAGCGGGGGAAGAGGAGGCCGGCGATGATGGTGAAATTCACGCTCATCATCCGTCCGCCAAGGAGCCATTCGACTTCAATTCGATCCGTCTGATGCAGGAATACATGCAACATCAGATGAGCAAGTTTCCCAATGGTGTCGCTGGTCCCGGCGCCGTCAGCGATCTCGGCAGTGAACTGGGCATGGGTGATGGCGAGGATGGAGATGAGGACGAGACGCTGCCACTCATACCCGAAATAGAGCTCATCACACCCTCAGATGATCATGCCATGGCAATGCTCGCCGGCGATTTGGATGGCACAGCGGTCGGTGGCGTTCCCCATGCGCCGCCCGTTCGAGGTTTCCAATGTTCCCATTGCTATCAGATCTTCGAGATGAAGCAGATACTCAAGGCCCATTTGCAGAGCGTCCACGGAGCTCCGGGGCCGGTGTATGAGTGCAACAATTGCCGCAAAACCTATTTCTACAAACGCTTCCTGGAGAAGCATGTGAGGCGCGGTCGCTGCGTCAAAAAACGGCGCAATCAGACGTAAGTCTTACAAATCGCCAAAGAATCTCCATAAATGTCCTAACCACAATTCCTCTCCTTATTTGCAGTCGTCCTATGCAGTGCTCTGATTGCCATGTCCTCTTTCCCACCGGCCATCATCTCGGCTGGCACAAGCGCACCGGTTGTCCGTCCAAGGCGGCTAAAATGTGAGTCTCCTCACCAATATATTGAATATAGAAAACTATTTCTAATTCTATTTGCATGTCTCCTTCCGTTCTCTCCCTTCTGTAGGCCGCTACAGCAGCTCTTTAAGCAGAACATTGTTCAGTTCAATAATTTCTCGAAGCGTATTGGTGGTCCGGGACGCAAGCCGGCTGTGGATAATGGTGCCGTCCATCTGAATAATCGCAAGTGAGTCATTTTGTTTGTCATCTCTAAAGCCCCCCAGTACTATATCAATATATTTACATTACTTTCCAGACTGGGCTTGACGAATAAACGCAAGGGACGCACTCGCATCAAGCTGGACGCCAAGAAGATAGCGTTGGCCAAGCAACTGATCCTGCGGGAGGCCACCACCACGGTAATTGCCAATGAACTAAACATCTCGCGCACGTTCGCCTGGCGCCTGCGCAAGAGTCTGGTGAATGGTGTGAGTCTGCACGAGCGCGTTGTGGATCAGGCATCGGAGGAGTTGCAACTTCAGCAACAACAGCAGCAACAACAACATCAACAGCAGCTGCCTTCGCCACCGCCGGCCGGACAGCCTGAACTGAGCGATGAAGGCCAGGCGGAGGCAGCTGCTGAGCTCGAACAGCAACACCAGCAGCAGCTGAGAAGCCACGATCTGGACATACGCTATCCCCAGTTGGCGCTGGACATGGGCATTGTTAAGGAGGAGCAGCAGGATAGTGAGGATGAGGAGCATCACGAGCTGACCATTGCAGATGAGGGTGTCGGCGAAATTGGCGCCGAAGAGACCGCCGGCTATGCGGGCGAAGACGACATGTGCGGTCTTCTGCCCAATGGCTATGATGTGCGCAATCCGCTGGACGAGGGCAGCGGCCCGGAAACTGGCGAACGGGATGCGTATGGGGATGCCAATGAGAATGAGCGTCACTCTAAGAACGCCAACTCGCCCCCATCCCCGCCAGCGATAGCCTATCAACGCTTGATGGCCGGCTCCCAACGTTTTCCCCACATTGTCAACGCACAACAGCTTCAAATGCATCAGCAACAGCAACAACAACGGCATCAGCAACAGCAAAAGGTGCAATACGCAACGAAGGGCTCCCTTATGCCCCTCAATGGTGGTCTGCCTTTGTTGACACGCTTTCCCACCATCGCCAACACAACCACACCATCCAAGTGAGTACAGAATTGTGTCGAAAAGTGTTCAGAGCAGTTCACCATTCAAGAATGGAAGTTCAGAACTCTTGCTTTGTCTGAAATATAAGAGCTGTCCGGACACTTCCAACTCAAGAAAACATAAAAATTAATGAAACCCCAAGATCATGGTACGAAGAGTATCACTCTTTCAAAAACAAATATCGATAACATATTATATGAGGAATCAATACAACAAACTCTATCAATATTTCACATGACATGAAGAAATCAAAATGAACTTAAGAAACATACATATGTCTACCTAAATGAATAAAGGAAATTTTCCATGAACAACAACAATTTGAACAATTATAAACCCTTAGAGTGTATGTAGAACATTTTAACTGATTTGTACATTTTACAGCAAAAAGTAAAACAGTTTATTTCTGTTCTAAACCAGTAGATTAAAGCAAATCAAATGATCTTTGATGTTGGGGGGAAAAAAAGAAACCCCTCAACATTGGTTGAATTCAAAATATGAACTGCAGTGATTTCTTAATGTTTTTCTTGCCCTAAAATAAAATGAATGTTTATTCTTTTATACAAATATTTTGCTCACTCAAATGACAGTTATTTGTTTTAAAAATATAAGATTTTAAAAAATGAACTGCCGTGATTTCTTAAAGTTTTTCTTGCCCTAAAATAAAATGAGTGTTTATTCTTTTATGCAAATATGTATTTTGCTCACTCAAATGACAATAATTCGTTTTAAACATATCAGATTTTAAACATATCTAAGAATTGTAACTCCCGACCAAGCAATTGAATCAAGCAGTTTATTAGGCGACTGAAGCGATCGATAAAGCAGTCTGATCAGTTCATTGGCACGAGCGAAGGAGATGGCATGCATATGTATATCTGAAGATAAATTCAATTTAAAATAGCGTGCGCATTGGTGCCACAGATACTTATTGCAATTACTTATTGTTTCTATTCGCAGCCATTCGTTGCCGGTTAATTTGTCCATACGCTCCATGTCGCAAATAAACAGCAATGAGAGGTGAGTAATGCCGTATATCTGAGATGACAAATGCCTCATTTCTTTCTCTCTCTTTCCCGCTCTCTTCCATTCTGCTGCTCTCAGCAATGGCAGCACCAGCAGCAATGCGACTGCAACTCCCATTCAGTCCCATCACCACCAGCAACATCACCAACAACAACAGCAGACGACTCAGCCTGGCAAGAAGCCGCGTAAGCCGAACGTTTTCATCGACGATGAGAAATACGCAATGGCGAAGCTGTTGGTGGCACAGAATGCGTCCACCATGAATATTGCACGTGCTCTGAACGTGTCTCAGATGACGGCCTGGAAGGTGCGCGATGCCATATTAAAGGGCGTGCCGCTCTCATATCGCAACAAGTCTCGCGTTGAGTCGCGCAACGAGGACTCCACTAAGGAGCATCAGCAGCAGTTGCAACTGCAACATCAGCAGCAACAACAACAGCAACACCAGCATCAACAGCAGCAGCAGATGCAGCGCCATCAACAGGAGCTCATTGCCGCTGAACAACAGCTACTGGATATGCAACAAATGCAACAAATGGAGTTGCTGAAGCAGCAGCAGAAACAGCAGCAGCAACAGGAGCTGTTGCTGCAACAACAACAACAACAACAACGTCAGCAACGTCGTCATACGCCAGCAGCGGACACATCACACTATCAGCCTCCAACACAGCAGGCGCCACAACCGTCACAGCAACAGCAACAACAACAACAACAACAGCAGCAGCAACAACATCAGCAACAGCAGTTGGCGGCAGCCAACAAATTGTTGCATCCACGTCGCCGCCTCAAGGCGGCCGAACGTGAAATGCGCGACAAGGAGATAACACGCGAAATCCTTCAACTGATTAAGGAGGATAGCAACATACAGTACTGGAAGGTGTCGGCACGTCTGGCCGAGAAGGGCATCAACATATCGCCCTCATCCGTCTGTCAGAAACTCAAATCGATGGGCATACATCGTCGATGGAAGCCGGGCGATAAGCCGCCCATGCTGGCCATGAATCAGCTTAAAGCGGTGACTGTCGCTGCCGCTGCTGCCTCTTTCGCAGCCGGCGGCAATGGCACCACCTTTGGTCTGCCCAATGGCAGCAGTGCTGCTGCTGCCGCCGCCGCTGTTGCTGCTGCCGCTGCTGCTGTTGCCAATGCCGATGACGGTTACGAGCAGCAACAATTCGATATGGGCGGTCCACACTTTCTCAGTGCCTTTACACGCTAAGGGCTTACAAAAAAAAAAAAAAAAAAATGCCTGCGCCAGCGTCCTGCGAAAGAGTTAATTTTTAAGTACGTCACGCACACATCCATGCCTCCCCCCCTCCCTTTCCCCCACACACGCCCACACGCATTATAGCAACAACAATTTGTATTTTTATATAGTATTTAAACAAGATTATACATAACTGTATTGTATCTTATATATACATACAAACATGCATACATATATATATATATATATATATATATATATATATATATACATATATACATACTTATATTGCGGATTTCTTGTACACATTTCTAGAATGTTCGGCTGACACACAAACACATAAACACACACACACACATATATATATATTTAACACACCTTTGCGCATTTAGCGTACATTCCAAAATAATAGTTTTGCAACAACTTTGAAAAGCAACTTCCATCGTGCAGCTAACTTAGTTATAGTATTTATTTATGTATTTTGTTCCATATACACACAAACACACACTTCTACACACATACACACACACACACACACATTGCGGCCTGGCCAAACATTTATTTATTTATATTCAATATAGGAGCCAGGCTTTAAGAATATATAACAGATACATATGTAAGCACAGAAACTAGAGAAAAAGCAACATTAGAGATTAGTGAATAGATCTTTGAAATGCATTTGCATGTTTAAGTCGAGTTTGCAACAAATCCGATTTATTCAGTACTGACACACACACACACACACACAGAGAGAGACACACTCATATACACACATATATATGTGAGAAGATAAAGACATATTCTTTAGTTAGTTAGTTACGCATTATATATAATTATATTTGCAATCAATGAACTTTTTGTGTCCAATCAACCAATCGACCGACCGCCCATACCGTACACACATACATACATGCATATACATATACATACCTACATACCTACATACATATACATATATAAAAATACTTATAAATATATGAAATTTGTAGCAATGGAACAAAAAGAAATGAAAGATGCAAAGAAAGAAGGAAAGTAAAATAAAAACTGAAAACAGCAGCAAGAACAAAACAGAGATAACAAGCAACAAACAAACAATAAGAAAAGAAACGAAACAAAACAAAACACAATTATGTACGATTTGTATTATGAGCAACAACCAACAACAAATTGAAGTGCAATTATATAGCAACAATACTACAAATAGGCATTTTTCTATGGCTATGGCTTGAGAGTTAGAGCTGCAAACAAATGTTATAAACAAAGCCCGATGAAAACAATTTTGTTAACAGACCAACAACCAAGCAACAAACCAATCAAACAAACAAACAAACAACCAACCAATTAACTAAATTGAACAAATCTAGGCCCAACTGCGCCGATTTGTCGAATTGTAAATCAAAAGAGACGAAAGCAAAAACAAAAGAGAGTACATATGTATAATACTGAAATTGTATTTATTTACACGCATAGATTATTTTTGATCGACTGCGATCGATCGATCGATATTTTATTTTACTTTAATTCATTCATAGTTATTATTATTGTAATTCTTTTTTTTTCTTTTTTTGGAAACTTATTGTAGAATTGTGAGAAGCCATCGATGCCGGCCGGGATCGTGCGTTTCAATATAATTATGAAAAAAAAAAACAAACAAAAGAATGACTTGAAGCGTGATTTAAGCGGATCTTTAGTATTTTTGTACAATAATTTTTTTGCATTGATGAAGAGCCAACGCTGAACTGCTGATTATGCATAGTATATTATATTATTATTTCATATATCTATTGAATAAATAAAAAAAACCAATTCCTTTTTTTTGCTCTTCTTTTATAAGTATTTCGTATATCATTTAATGAGCAGCTTTTGTATGCAATACAAAAAAATGAAAATAAATATAAAAAATAAATATAATTATTATATAAATATACATATATATATATATATACATCGTAAGATTAAATACAACCCATTCAAACAAAAACAACAAACAAATAGAACTGATGTGCCTATGTAGCGTTTAAATGTACACTTTCCTCCTAAAACCCCTCAACACACACACACACACACACACACACACTAACACGCACAGTTGATGGCATATATGTAGATGTGTATATGTGTATTACCTATGTGCAAAAATTATGAGTAGTTTCCATTTAGGTTTTAGTTTGCGGGCTTCAAAGCCATCGAGCTGCAGCAGCAGAGGCTGCCAAACAAACACACACACACAGACACATACCTACATACATACATACACGTACATACATACTGATGTAATACATAACGAAATAATCATTCCAAAATGTCATAAAAAAGAAGAAGAAACAAAATAAACATATATGCCTATATTTTATTAAATAACTTGGCTCTTTTCATACACTTTTCGCCATTTCGTGCCCCTGGGCTCCGAAATTGTGAACTCATCAGCATGTCTGTCAGAAGATTTGATTGATGCTGATGCTTAAGCAAGAATGAAATGCAGGCCCAACTCTTAAATAACCTGTTTTGATTCCAGAAACATTTGAAGCTATAACTTTCTTTGGAACTGCGGACCAATGACGATAAAGTGTCCACTGAGAGGAAAACCAATACAAACTTGTCGTGCCTAGCACTTTGAGGAACTTGGATGCCAAGTCTGGTTATTCTAGCTCTTCTACTTTCCGAGATATTTGCGTTCATACTGACGAACAGATGGCCATAGCTACATATAGGAGTACTTATCAACCTAAATACTATTGTCTACAAACTGGATTCTGAAATCGAGCGGGTTGCTTACTCACAAGCGTTCCACAAACATCAACCCCAGTATTCGCCTGATTAGGAAAAGACAATTCTGGGCATACTGTCTCGACACGATTGAGGAGATTCAAGCCGAATCGAAGAAGGTACTGAAGGAAAGGATTTTTCGAACTGCTTCGATAAGATATATTTTAATGAATAAATCAAGATTTCTAAAGTTAAAATACATACATCTCCGACTGTTTAAGGTTAGGGTATACGTATGAACTCCCGGGGCTTTTCGCTGCCTTCTCTGCTCTCACATGCCTAACATTGTTGGAAGCTGCGTAATAAATCAATGAAACACATTCTACGGGTCATGTCGGCTCGGCCGCCGGGGATTTTTATAATATAATTTACCAAATTTACAACCGAACGCGCACAAATGCTGCTGAACGAGCCCAGTACGCCACTGGCCAAGATAATAGGATCAGGCCATTACTATTTATTAATATATTTTCTGCTTATCTCTGGTATTGAAAAGCTTCTAAAATTTCGGAAAGAAGTACACAATACATAACGTATACACCTAATTCGGTTTTTACACGGTCTTTTTTTTACACAATTTTGATATAACACGGTTTGAAATATATATATATTTATATATTTTTATATATGAATATATATTTCTTTAGAGATAAGGAGCCATTCACCTATTTTTGCATATAATCAATGTCTTTTTACACGATTGTTTCTGGAACCAATCCACTAATCATATACATACATATGTGTATATGTATATGCATATATATGTTGGTTATTAGATGCAATTGAATGCGGTTTTTATGTAAATAAACAATATACAGTGCTTCCCACCACGTATTCCGCACTGGCTAGTGAGGCGAGTGTTCCCCCGCTACCTACCGACAGATGGCGTGGTAGCACACTTTCAGCTGAAACTGAAAAAGCCGTCTTGCAGATTTGTGATTGTTCTTGTTAATTTAATCCTTAATTTAGCTTTCGTTTTTACTTGAATTTCATATAAATTTGAGACATTTTCTCGCACCTATTTACAATTTCCGAAAATGAGAATATTGGATCATCATCTTGACGTTTTTTCATCAACCCTCAACTTTTGAAGCCATTGTTGCTGAATTTTCTTTTGATCTTTTACAATTTTCATAACTTTCTAATGTTTTCAGTAAAATGTTTAGAGTGTTCACAAATACCATTTAAGAGTATTTCGTTTTTCAAAGAATGAAGGGAGATTCTCATAAGCTACTGATAGACTTTTACTGAAAAGCAGGTTTCTCACTTAAATTGATTTTACTTTATGTTGATGAAACATTACAACTTTACAATGTGTTTTAGTTGTGCAGAACTTTAAGCAACGCCTGATGAAAAAGAAAAGAGGATCGTATTTTACGGATCTTTCATCCATATTTGTAAAAGAGAATTAATCGAGATGAGCACTATTTTTTTTCGAGTCGAACTTTCAATGGCAAGAACTTTTATCTCATGAAGAGATTAAACAAGATTTTCTGGGGAACTTTATATAAAATGGTATGAAATAAATTATCTGAGAAAAGAGAATCAATCGAGATGAGCACTATTTTTTTTTTTTCGAGTCGAACTTTCAATGACAATAACTTTTATCTCATGAAGAGATTAAACAAGATTTTCTGGGGAACTTTATATAAAATGGTATGAAATAAATTATCTGAGAAAAGAGAATCAATCGAGATGAGCACTATTTTTTTTTCGAGTCGAACTTTCAATGACAATAACTTTTATCTCATGAAGAGATTAAACAAGTTTTTCTTAGGAACTTATGTATAAAATGGTATGAAATAAACTTGGGAATATACATACATACATTCCAAATCTTTCCACTTCTCCATTTCCAGGTAATATTCCTAGAATTTTGCACATGATTGTAGTTACATGTATGCACTCAAACATTTCCAATTTTGTTCTCACAGTTCCGCTTCCGAAATGTGCAGCCCCTTCTTTAACTGGAGAGCGAATTGGGAAACTTAAATGATTCAGCGCAGCATGATAAAGAGGCCTGAAGCAATCCAGGTAATATACTATATGTAAATAGCAGCGGCATTTAGTATTAATATGTATATTGGAAGTATGTTTCCGATAGGTCTCTCAATTGATTAAAGCAAGTAACAACATCCCAACAAATTCTGAAGCTCTGCTCGCGTGTACTGCGGACTCAACTGCTACTGCTGCTGAGTAAGAGGGATTTTCCAAACTCATAACAACTACAAATAATTGACTGCGATTTTAGATTGGTATGCGCTACCGCTACCCCAATTCAGAGGGTTGTTCGTTTTTTGACGATTCAATGAATCAACCCATAGATAGTGGGAAATTCCACTATTCTTATATCCTACCATTAAAGTGTGGGCCTATTGAACGCATATGGAATAGAGCAGTACATTCTTGAGAGATTCAATGAGGAGGGAAGCAAACCTCATTAGAGATTATGCTTTTAAGAAATTAATACAAATTTGATATAATTTGTATATACAAGTATAGTCCTCAACTTTACATGCTTTCCAAGCGATATCTGATTTTTGTGAGAATCTCTAAGTAGGAAAACAAATTTTTTAAGCAATGAACATGAATGAATTTCTGGCTGTTTGACAAAAGTCTAAAGAGTCGATTAATTGCTACGAAAGATATATGCCGTTGTGGAGCATGTCTTACATTGTTATTGGAACTGAATCGCACTTACTATATAGTGGCTGTGGTTTATCCAAAAATTGTTGACTAGATATCCATTCTTGTTGGAAGCCACAAACAAAAATGGCAGCTTAAGTAAAAAATACATACTATATGGGGCAAGGTTAACCTAATCCTTGCTGAAAAGTGATGAACCATTTGGTTAATATGTGTTTCTTCCTGCTACGCGATTCTTCTTTTCTTCATCTATTGGCGCATCTGCAATATGGGATATGTTTATGTGAAGAGGAAGACAGAAAATCTTTCAACTTAACAATTTGTTTGTAAATCTTTCAACTTAACAATTTGTTTGTAAACATAAACTTTAAGATCACATTTCATCTTAAGCACTGCTCGTCGAATTTGAGTTGAGTTTTTGGTTTTAATTTTTAAAAAGTTCCTAATCTCATCAGTTGCTCTTCATCTCTGAAGACGGTAATAAGTTTTTCTATATCCAAATTTTATTTTTTGAATCTGTAGGTCACCCAAATAGAGAGTTGATACTAAACTTGGAGCTTTGTTTTTCATTTTGAAAAGTTC